AGGAAGTCCGAGGAGGCTAAGGAGTAGGCAGCCGAGGCCGAGAAGCGGGCGACTGAAGCCGAGAAGCGGGCAGCCGAAGCGGTGGAGGCCTTCAAACAGTTGCTCGATTACCAGAAGGCCCAGGCGGAGTATACATCTTCGTCATACCTGGACGGCATCGAGGACATGAAGAAGACCGTCCTACAAGTGATGCTTGACTTTGACGTCGAGGGGTTGAAGGAGATTCTAGACTCCCCTAAAGGGTCCTTCGTGGTCGTTGATGTTTCTGAGGACTCTGACCTCCCCTCGGCTGGTCGCAAAGATTAGTGGGGTTCTTCCTTTTTTTGCTGCTATTTGCTCTTTGTTAGTCTGTTTTTCTTTTTTTTTTTTTTGATGTAAATGTGTTCGACCTCCGAGGTCATGAATTTTTTGTAAATGCTTATAGTGAATGAATGAAAAATACAAGCATTTTTTGTACGATGTGTTCTCTCCTTCTCTCTCTTTTATTTTTCTTCTCTTCTTTTCTTTTCTTTTTACCGAGGGGTCCCTGCCCCTCCCAACGAAGAAACCACAAGGCACAAAAAATAGTTGTACCAGCCAGTTACACGCTCACCTTAGATAGTTAGGAGGGAGAGGCTGAGGTAGAGTCATGCGACCAAAGTGTGGCTCACCTGACCTAACTCCTTCCAAGTGTTTACTTAGGTAAGGCCGAGGAGGCCTGTCGAGTGGTGGGGGAGGGGCCGAGGTAGAGGTGTGTCTCGCCTGGTTCCCTTCCTCCCAGGTTGCTTAGGCAAGGCTGAAGTGGCCTATTAATGTGTGGGGGAGGGGCCAAGGCAGAGATGTTGCTCGCCTAGTTCCCTTCCTCCCAAGTGGTTACTTCGGTGAGGCCGAGGTGACGCTCCAAGGAGGTCGAGGTCTTGGGCCAAGGCACACCGCCGAGTTAGTCAGGGTTTTCACCTTTACTCAATCGTGCTAAGTGTATAAGACCAAGAGGCCATCTGCCGCCGAGGCGGGTAGTGAGGCGTGCTATGCCTCGACCGTCCTGGTGATTTTCTGTTTGGCGAGATGTTGAGTTTGGGTGTTTGCCACTGCCCATGTGCCCTGGCGTTGGTCTGGCACGAGCGCATATACCTCGGGGGAAGCTGCGCACTTCGGCTAGTCGCAAAGACGAGGGGTCCTAGGAATTTAGTGAGAACACACGCTGAGCGTTGAGCCAAAGGGGAACTTTGCTTTCTGGCCTTGTACTCACCATTGACTTGGTTTAGCACTAGTTGTCAGTCGCTAAAGGCTTYGACGTGTAGGGAGCCGAGGTCCCTAGCAAGCTGCAAACCAACGAGGATGGCCTCGTACTTGGCTTCATTGTTGGATTCTGGGAAGTCGAACCTTAGCGCATACTCTTTGACTACATTATCTGGGCTGAGGAGGATGAGGCTTGCTCCGCTTTCTTTGGTGTTGGATGAATCGTCAACAAAGAGTGTCCACTTGGGGCGAGCCTCCTCAGTCAGGCGATCCCCTTCAACATCTTTGGGGGCTCGGCGGAGGGCCTGGCTGAAGGTGCATTCTACTACGAAGTCTGCTAAGTCTTGTGCTTTGATAGCGGGCCTTAGTTGGTACTGTATGTCAAACTCAGAGAGCTTGATGGCCCACTTAGTCAAGCGCTCCGAGGTCTTGGGTTTAGTGAGGACAGACCTAAGGGCTGGTTCGTCAGGACCGTTATAGTGCGAGCTTGAAAATACGGCCTAAGCTTTCTAGTTGAGACCACGAGGTCGAAGGCTAGTTTCTCCACATCAGAATATCTAGTTTGGGCGTTGCAGAGGACCTTGCTAATGCAATATATCGGCTTTTGCGTTTCGTCTTTTTTTATGAGCTGATTGCCTCATCCCCGACCGAAAGGTACAAATATAGGGTTTCTGCTGGAGCCGGCCGAGCGAGGAGGGGAGGCAAGGCGAGGTAAGCCTTGAGTTCGTTGAAGGCAAGTTGACACTTCTCCGTTCCTATATGAGAAATTGAAGGAACAGTCTGTCTAATGTTTCTTCCAACTATTGTATGGGGAATTGATACCTCATAGTAATTTTTTTGATGGCACAACTATCTATACACATTCTCCAAGAGCCATTCTTCTTCGGAACAAGTAGAGTAGGGATTACATAGGAATAAGACTTGGGCGAATGTGTCCTTTTTATAGCAAGTCATTTACTTTCCTTTGTACTCATTCTCTTTGGGACTGAGTCAATGATGTGGCAAGTTGGGAAGTGGAGCACCAAGGTGGAAGTCCATGTGGCAGTTCATCCAAAAACATATGGAAGTATTCGTTGATGAGAGACTAGATTAAGGTTTTTAAAACCGACCCGGAGAATGAATCGGTCAGAGGTCTGGTTTCTGGGTCAAACAATTCGACCGTTCAAACCAAATGGTTGGTCCATTCTAATAAAAAAATAAAAAAAATAAAAAATGCTCAAAACCGTTTGAACAGTTCGAACAATTAACCACCCGAATTAGTGGTTTGCTGACCAAAATCAACGGATTTTAAAGAAAATCCGATTTTAGGAAAAACTGAAACCGAACACCTGACCGGTTCCTGGTTTTTCCGGTCCGACCATGGACTAGAGTTTCTTGGTCTTGCTCTCAAACTTCTTTCATGTTCAGCTACTTTATGGTACTACTAGTGATGACGTTCACATCCGTGTGACTCTTAGGAGGAAGACATTGAGACTACCTCAAACCCCTCCATGTCAAGTTATTATAACTAATAACCAGCTGGCATTAGTTATCAAGATTAGACCACGTGTCCAAGAACGTTCTTGTATCAACTAACCCACTAATCCACGATGGCCCACTATAAATGCTTGTTAATGTTAATGGGTCACTACTCACAACACATTTAAGAGAACCCAAGTTTCTATTTCTTCTCTTTATTGTCACATGAAAATTTTGCGTTAGGTCAACTCACATACCCGAATATGGAAAATTTAAGCGGCTGTTTGGCATCTTGCCGTTTATTGGAGAAACAGCGCCACATCAGCATCACATCTGAAAAATGGTGCTTCAGGAAACAACGTTTGTTTAGAGTTAGTTTTTCAAAGAAAATGGTGCTYTAAGCTGGCTTTGGAAATTGAGAAGTCATGGCTTGGAGCAATGTTAAATTTGGCGTTTCATAAAGCTGTAGCTCGTTGCTGCCAATAGGGCGTTGAAGCGGTAGTGACGTGGCATCCAATATATTCTTATTTTAATTGATATGGTGCATGCAATGGACCATGGTTTTTAAAACCGAATCGGTAAGGGGTCCAGTTACTGGTTTGAACAGTCCGACCGTTTGACCAGAATGGCCGACCCGTTCTGACAAAAAAATAAAAAAAATTTAAAAAAATTAAAAATTGAAAAATTTTCAAAACTGTTTGAATGGTTCAAATAATTAACCGGCCGGTTCAACGGTTTATTGACCAAAATCAACGGTTTTGGAGGAAAACGAAACCCATCAAGTGACCGATTCCCGGTTTTTCCAGTCCTACCGTCTGGTCCGGTCTGATTTTGAAAACCATGCAATGCACCATGTCATAAATGTTTCTTATCTACTTTTAACGAACCCTAAACTCTCTTCTTCATTTTTTCAGCTGTTGGAGTTGTAGGTCGAGTGCAAGCAGTCAGCCCTTGGAGTTGGAGGTCGAGTGCAAGCAGTCACCGGAGGTTTATCCACGCAGCCAGTCACCGGAGTGCTAGCAGTCAGCCGTTGGAGTTGGAGGTCTAGTGCAAGCAGTCACCGGAGGTTTATCCGCGCAGCCAATCACCGGAGTGCAAGCAGTCAGCCGTTGGAGTTGGAGGTTGAGTGCAAGCAGTCACCGGAGGTCACTTGTAGTTCAGTCACCGTCTGTTCGGTCACCAGAATACCATTTATTTTTTTCTTTTTTGTTTTGGTCGAATAGTGTGATGTTTGCTCTGTTTACCATTTTCTTCAAGCATTCTGAGTTTTTTTTTTTTTTTTTTCTGGTTTTTGTATATATGGATTCAAAACGGAGTAGACTTCAGTTAATATTCTTTCATCACCGTTTTCTGTTTTCTGATTTTTGTATTTATGGATTCAAAAATTTTTAACAGAGGAAACTGAAGTCTCAGTTTTGAACAGAGGAGACTTCAGTTTGGAATTGTTTCAAGCCAATTGATTCAGCTTCAGATGTGGAACTGTTAAAACCTTCATACCCCAACTCTTGCATAAATCATAATCTTCTCTCTTTAGTTGTTTCCAAACACAACTAAAACATTGTCCTCTAGCACAGCACAAATACTCATCCAAATAGTGGGTCTGGTCTTCTCCCAGGTTATACATTACAGTTGGTTCTTCACAAGGTGCTGGGTACACTCTACGAGTAAACTCTGGGAATTTATTTCTCTCTAGAAGTCAATCCAATGCTTCACGCCACCTATTTTGATACACCAATTCATTGAACTTTGGTATCTTATTCCCAAGAGTTCTTCCATCAACCAAAATACCAAATTGCAGCTATATCATATATCCAACAAGAGTTTGACCACGAAATGGAGATTTTTCCACCCTGCAGGTCCCATATAATTAGTTCATATTCCTTTACATTAATCCCATGTGCACAGATAGGAAGGATAACTATTCTTCTCATCCTTCCATATACTCCTGATCAATTAAGCAATGGACCTTACCCAAGAAAGAAATGATGGCAGTTAAAAACAGCAAATAAAGAATAAAGAATAACAATAATAGTGATAGAGAAGGGAACAAATTGAAAGAATAATTCGGCTAACCTTATATGGTTAGAGCCGATTACCACTCTATTTTTATTTATAGAGATTGAATTACATTGGGATTTTACAGAGATAAGAATTAAAGAGATAGGGATTATCTAGGTTTGTTGAGGTTTATCTAGGATAACTCTTATCCTGTTTATCTAGGATAATTCTTATCTTGAGATAGGATTAGAGTTATCCTAGTTTGATCTAGTTAGTTATCTACAAGAGCCTCAATGGATTCGGTTTTACTTGATAGGCTTGGAGACTTACGTAGTCGTGCATGGGCCATGCATGGGCCCATGGACGTCTACGTTATTATCCCCCAACAAGCTGAACGGGGTGACAAGAACCTTGGCCTGAAGAGAAGCAAACCATGCTGTAGAGAGTGGTTTGGTGAAGATATCTGCTATCTGATCTGCTGTAGGAACATACCGAATCTGAAGTTTCTTCTGAGTGACAAGATCTCGAAGGAAATGGAAGTCCACCTCTACATGCTTGGTCYGAGTGTGAAAAATAGGGTTGGCTGCCAAGTGGGTAGCACCCATATTATCGCACCAGAGAATGGGTGGAGGAACTAGAAAGCCAATGTCTTGTAGCAGAGACTGAATCCATAACAACTTTGTTACTGTGTTGGCGAGAGACCTGAACTCAGATTTGGTGTTGGAGCGAGCAATGGTGTGTTGCTTCTTGGAGCTCCAAGAAATAAGATTGGAACCAAGGTAAATTGCATAACTTTCGGTAGAGCGTCGGTCATCAAGACAGCTAGCCCAGTCAGCATCGGTGTAAGCAACCAATTGCCGTGAGGAGGAACCCTGAAAGTGAAGCCTGTGAGTGATAGTTCCCTTGAGATAGCGAAGTATTCGCTTTATGGTTGTCCAATGTTCATTAGTGGAAGAGTGAAGAAACTGACAAACTTTATTAACTGCAAAGGAGATATCAGGGCGAGTGATGGTGACATATTGTAGAGCTCCAACAATGCTGCGGTACTCCGAAGGATTAGGAAAGGGATCTCTTGAGTCCTTTGAGAGGCAACTAGATGTAGTCATAGGCGAGCTTGTCATTTTGGCCCCTTCYAGATTGGTCCGATGTAACAAATCCAGGATATAGCGTTGCTATGAGGGGAACAAACTACAAGAGGTGCGACTAACTTCAACCCCTAGAAAATAATGAAGGGAGCCTAAGTCCTTCGGTGGTAGAGTTGCGGAATCCCATTTGTTTAAAAGCGGAGCTTAAACATGAATACCAGGCTCAGGGTGCTTGTTTGAGGCCCTAGAGAGCCTTTTTCAATTTACAAACATTGTTCGGATATCTGGGATAAACAAATCCTTTTGGTTGATGCACATAGATATTTTCGTCAAGGATGCCATGAAGGAAGGCGTTGTCGATATCCAATTGATGGACTGGTCAATTTTGCACAAGAGCAATGGGGAGTATTGTCTGTACGGTTATTGGTTTGACAATCGGACAAAAAGTATCAAAATAATTAAGACCCAAAACTTGATTAAAACCTTGGGTGACCAGCCGGGCTTTGTAGCGATCAATGGTTCCATCGGCCTTCTTCTTTATTTTATAGATCCACTTAGTTCCAACGATGTTCATGGACGGATCATATGGAACTAAGTTCCAAGTGTCATTTTTAATGAGGGCTTGATATTCCTTTTGCATAGCCATATGCCAGTTTGGCGATTTTGCAACTCGATTAAAATTTTTAGGTTCTTGCTCATGGAGGAGAATAAGAAGAGCAGAAGGGATTGGATACCTTGTCGCAAGCTGAGACCGAGGGAGGGTCCCATCCATGGATCGGGTACGCATGGAGTGAGTGCATACCGGTTGTGAGATTGGAGCTGTAGAATCCAACAAATTTTGAATCCTACGATACCTTTGTAGCCGATTAGAAGAAGTCTGATCCGATGGTCCTGAAGCTAGAGAAGTGGTCGCCGAACTGGAGCTAGATGCAGGTGAAGGTGGAACCTGGGACGAAGGCAACTGTCTTGGGTTTCAGATTGTAGAGGAGCTAGTGCTGAAATGAAGGTTCCCATAGAAGTGGGAGATGCACAAGTGGGTGCTTCAGCAATTCCCAAAAATAAAGTCTCATCAAATACAACTTGGCGAGCTATGAAGATACGCCCTGAAGGAACATGCAAACAATGATACCCTTTGTGGGAGGTTCTGTAACCAATAAAAATGCACTGAAGAGATTGAAGCTGAAATTTATTCTTGTTGTAGGGCCRTAGAAAAGGATAGTAGGCACAACCAAAACAGCGCAGCAGAGAGTAATCAGGAGATGACTGAAAAATTTTCTCATGAGGGGACATACCATTCAGTACCTCTGTTGGCAGTCGATTTATCAGAAAGACTGCAGTTTCAACTGCATCAACCTAGAAGGAGAAGGGGAGTTTGGAGGAGTACAATAGAGATAAAGTAGATTCAACCATGTGTCTGTGCTTCCGTTCAACTGATCCATTCTGTTCATGTGTATGAGGGCATGCCAATCGATGCGTGATTCCTTGAGAGTCTAAGTAATGGGAGAGGGAACAATATTCTCCACCCCAATCTGACTGAAAGACTTTGATTTTTGCATTAAACAGAACCTCTACATGCCTCTTGAATTTAATAAATAAATCAAAAACATTTGATTTTTGAGCCATAGGATACACCCAAGAAAATTTTGAAAAATCATCCATAAAGATAACATAATAAGAAAATCCATTATTTGACTTAATAGGAGCAAGTCCCCATACATCTGAGAAAATTTAATCTAATGGGCGCTTCAACTAAGAACTAGATGACTTCAAGGGCATTCTATGACTCTTGCCCATTTGAAAGGACTCACAAATTGACTCATTAACACTAGATCTAGTAAACAGAAAACCAAATTTTGAAATAACTTGCCATTGTGCATAGCTGCATGACCAAGATGAAGATGCCAACCATGAAGTAAAGTATGCTCTTCAACAAGAGCTTTGGGAGTGATTGTGGCTGAAGTAGAAAAGCTGTGTAATCCATCTCTACTGGCCCCTCGGAGCAGGATTCTCCCCGTATAATCCTTCACATAGCAGCAACCATAGTGAAACTCAAAAAATAAATCATTATCTTTTGTAAATCGACTAACAGAAAGTAAGTTTTTGCAAATAAAAGGAACATGACAAATATCTTTTAAAGAGAAAGCATGCTGATTGAGTATCATAGAAGAAGACCCTGTATGATGAATATTCAAACCTTGACCATTGCCAACCTTCACTTGATCTGGTCTAGTATACTCAATGTGATTTTGCAAATTATCTAGACTGGAGTCATGTGATGGGTAGCTCTAGAGTCTGGATACCAGTTGGGATCAAAATTATTTTCGTACTAATTCTGAGGGGTATTTATGCCTCCATGGAATGTAGAAGGATCATTGCAAGAATTATCAGAAAAACCAAACGCATACTTTGCTTTCCGACATTGCAAAGCATTGTATCCAAATTTATTACAAATCTAACAGGTAACATTATTTTTACCTCCACGTCCTCCACAAAATTGTTGTGACTGGTTTTGAAAGGATTGGTGATTATATTGTGGAGAAGCACATCCATGCCCCTTGCCTTTGTTGTTGTTGAAATTTGAAGAGAACTGTTGCAGGGACTTCTGATAATTACCTTTCTTAGGAGGAACACYTGCCAGATTTGCACTTTGAGGGTCAGAAGCAAGAGCTAAGTCTTCAAGCCAGCTCTCATGGTTTAGAAAGGCTCCCATAATATCTGCGATACCAAGATATGCTGCATTTGATCGATTAGTAAGTGTTGTAACCATAGACTCGTATTCGCTCCCTAAGCTAGATAAAATATAAAGTACCAATTCTGACTTGAGAACTAATTCAGATACTATAGGAAGACTATCAGCAATGGATTTAGCTCATTGTATATATGCAAAAATAGAGAGAGATCCCCTTTTAAGATTTTGTAGTTGTCTCCGTAACTGCAGTACCCTAGAACGAGAGTGGGTGAAATAACTATGGGCAAGAGAAGTCCATACCTCTAATGATGTTGATAGACCTACCACTTGCGCCATAACTCCTTTAGTGAGAGAGGAAATCAGCCAACTTAACACAAGTTGATCTATGTCCGTCAATTTTTCAAATTCTGGGTTCACAATCATCCCTGTATCGTCTGGATTGGGTATAACTTCAAGTGGTGGTTTCTTCTTCAAGTGGTGGTGGCAAAGGATGGGAAAGAACTGAGCTCACCATAGTAGGTAATTATCACTTCCAAGTTTGATAGGAAGATAATGGGTAACATTCTAGATTGAAGGGAGCGTGCTGCTCGTTGTTGAGCTATTGTTGGAGGCTGTTGGGCTGCTACCATGTGTACCTGTCTCTGTCGACATGGCTCTGATACCAAGTTAAAACAACAAATAAAKAATAAAGAATAACAATAATAGTGATAGAGAAGGGAACAAACTAAAAGAATAATTCAGCTAACCTTATATGGTTAGAGCCGATTACCACTATTTATAGTTACAAAGATTGAATTACATTGGGATTTTACAGAGATAAGAATCAAAGAGATAGGGATTATCTACGTTAGTTGAGGTTTATCTAGGATACTCTTATCTTGTTTATCTAGGATAATTCTTATCCTGAGATAGGATTAGAGTTATGCTAGTTTGATCTAGTTAGTTATCTACAAGAGCCCCAATGGATTCAGTTTTACTCGATGGACTTGGAGACTTAAGTAGTCGTGCATGGGCCATGCATGGGCCCATGGACATCTACGTTATTAATGGCAGAGAAGAAGCAATAAATTAATGGTTTCTTGACTTTGATTTCAATGCTAGTACGAATTAGTTCAAGTTTGGGCATTTGGTTTAGTTGGTTACTTTTTATCTTCAGAAGGCAACAACCTGTTTGAGGGCTAGCTCTCTCCATCCTAACAGCTWACTTGAGTCAAAAGTCAAAAGCCCACTTATCTTCCTCTATAAAAGACTGAAAATCTAATGAGASAATGTCAAATAGAAGCTACAATTTTGCTGATTTCCATACTTTGTTCTATGTTTTTACATTTTTCTAGAATTTATATTTATATGTWTATATATATATATATTCTGTTTTTTCCATGCAATATATTTATATTTTTACATATGTCTAGAATTTATATTTATATTTATGTTATATAAATATATAAATATATATTTATATTTATATTTATATATATGTTCTATTTTTTCATGCAATTTCATTCAATTTTGCTGATTTTCATAATTTGTTTTATATTTTTACATTTGTCTAGAATTTATGTTTATATTTATATTAATGTATGAATTTTTTGGCTTTTTTTTCCATGTAATTTTCAGATCTTTTGCCATTTTTCTCATGATTTCTTGAATTTCTTTTTCTTTTTCTTTTTTTATAATCTGTTCAACAATTGGGACCATAGGATGAAATAGGTATTTTTTTCCACCATTGGATGTAAGATAATATTTACATAGTAGAAGCACTAGATAATAGGTGCCAATGCATAAAACGTTTCCTAGAGCATTACCAAATAGAAAAAGTGGTTGTTGCTCCAAGAAACGTCCTACCTGGCAACAATGGTTCCAAACAAAACAAAGGCACCGTTTTCTGAGAAAATAGGGTCGGGTCGGATCATGATCCAATCCATTTGCACCCCTAGGATTGATGCATCTGTTTTATTTAATAATATATGATTACGCTTTGGACCCTGCCATTGGGGATGAATATGATGGCATCTTGGACTAGTCCATTTTGAAATTACGTCTTTACCACAAGCATATATGTGGTTCCTTGTCATTRGAGTGAAAGTGGTCATAGTCTACCATTGTAAAATTGCTATGTGACTTTGAATTTGAATTTGAATGTATCGACATTAGTCCATGACATGTGTTCCATTCAACTTGTTCTTTTGATTTTGTAAACTGTTGGGAAATTTTATAATTTTGAGTATTTGAAGATTCTTCTCCTAGATGGATTAAATTGTTTGAAGCCTATCAATAATATGCAGATTTTATGAATTAAATGTTATTATTATAATTATGATTATTATTATTATTATTATTATGATTA